ATTTTCTCGGTGAACTTTGGCTTCTGTTTAATGTTTAGCCTGAACGTCTCACCTGCTGGATGTGGCCGCTGGTGAAGAGCGGCAGCTTGCTGATGATCTGCCTGATGGCGGTGCTGCGAGCGAGTCCGACCAGAGCTTTGCAGGCCAGAGCCCGGATCAGGTCAGCGTCCGTGATGGGCATCTTCACCGACAGCAGCGACAGGAGGACCTGGACGACGGCACAAACACAGCTCCTGATCTTCCTGGTACGTTAACAGGCCGTTTTAACGCCACCGTTCATGTTCTGGTCCTACCTTGATGCCGTTGTTGTTCTGCACCACCCGCCACATGTGGGCCAGAACCCGGTTGTGGGGGGCGGGCGGCTGCTGGGGGTGCAGGGCCGGCCGGAGGGGGGTGACGGGGAAGGCAGCCACCGTGTTCAGGCTTTGGTCCGGAGCGCAGACGCAGTTCGTTATCACCTGGACGGGACACAGAGGATCCGAATGAGACGCTCTTCATTCATCACAACCTGTTCTCCTGTGGCGGACCTTTGCTCGCTCACCTGCAGCGCCGACTTCTGGATCTCGGCGTCATTGACGAACACCTCTCCCTCCGCCACGCCCAGAATGATGCTCATACCTGCACAAAGGACGCAAAAGGCTGAAAGTCCGAAACGCTTCAGTGCAGCTGAACTTAAAGACAGAACCGAGGAGCTTCACTGACCCACGGCGGAGACAGGCGCCTGGTTCTCATCCAGGACGGCCACGGTGTCGGCCAGAACCAGCTGGACTTTAGGAACCACGGTCAGGACGGCCAGGATGTCCAGAGCATAGCGCACCGTGTCGCTCCTGGACGGACGGAAGATGGTTCAGTTACAAGGTGGAACCAGAACTTTACATCCACTGAATAAAAAGACACCAAAGCTTCTGTTTCTCACCGTCTGACATCCAATCAGACTAAAGGTTTCCTGTTTCAGCTCAGTCAGTGAGAACAGAAGTTTTCGTGCCTTTTTATTCAGTGGATGTGAACTTCTGGTTTCAGCTGGAGATGCTGTGAATCTGTTGACGAAGACGAGTCGGTTACCTGCCGTAGTACGTCCTCCAGTCGCAGGCCGTGGAAATGAGCTGCAGCATCAGAGGAACGCAGGACAGTTTGTAGAAAACCTCCACCGGCTCCCAGCGCAGATGAGGAGGTCCACACTCGATGAGGAACTCCATCATCTCGATGATCTGCTCCCTGCTGTAGGAATAGGCCTGGAACCAACAAACTCTACTGATAAAAACGCTTCATGTTTATGATTCACTTGAACGCATGATGTCGTTTTGGTGTCATTATCTTAAAAATAAAATTAAAAATAAGATGTTATTATTTGTAAAACTGTCAAATAAGTCTAACAGCTTTAAGTAAAGACGTTTCTTCAGATCACTTCCTGTGAAAAAGATGTCATCAAACAAATAAATAAAAGCAACTTTTCCACCATCCAAGCTGATTTGAACTCTCTGGATCATACTTTGTAAAATGGCTGCTGGGGGACGATGGTGCCGCCGTCCGACGCCTGCAGCGACTGTTTCACCTGCTCGGTCTTCACGGCCAGGTGAGCCTCGAAGTACCTGAACAGAGGAAAGCACGGTCAGGTGGAGCTGCACCTTTACCTGCTGCAGGAACGGCCCTGTAGGAGGGAGGAGCTTAATAAAGGAGGCGTTAACACTTTGACAACATCAGCACGAAGGCAATGAAACACCGACATCAACATCTACAAATAAAAATAAAAAACACCTGCAGAAATCTAAACTTAACCCCAAGAACACCAGATCTACCACCAAGCACAGCGGTGGCAGCATCATGCTCTGGGGCAGCGAATGGAATAACAAAGTAGAACCTAAAACCATCAGCAGAAGGTTGGTCTTGGACAAAGTTGGATGTTCCAACCAGACAATGAGCCCAAACACACATCAAAGTGGTCAAGAAATGGTTCCATCAGGCTGGAATGAAGGTTCTAGACTGGTCTCCCCAAAGTCCTGACTGGAACCATCCAGAACCTGTGGACTGATGAAGAAACAAGTCTGAAGTTCAGGTGAACTGAACCAATTCTGTCCAGAGGAGTCAGAGATGGACCAGAAGCTGGTGGACGGAGACCAGAAGAACCCGACTGAGGAGAACATGACCAGATGTGAGCATGTCGGTAGGAAAACTTTTGCCCCAACAGGGTTCGTCATGTTTCCAGAAGACCTTGAATGAATCTGTGAAAGAACCAACATGCAGGACTGTTGGTGTTACAGGAGTCACTGGAAACTCCAGACATACGTGGTCTCATTGACCACCTCCCGCTGACTCAGCACTGGTGTTGCTGCTTTACCTGCGTAGAGCCATGCAGGTGTGTTTGGCCGTCTGCCGGCTGGAGAACACCTGGTCGTCGCTCATCACGGACGCCTCCGCCTCCGCCTTCAGGATCTCCAGAGTGCTGACCTGCACGGAGACAAAAGCAAACGACACGCTCGGTTCAAGTTTAGAACTCACCAACATCTGCTGCTGGAAGCCGACCTTCTGCCAGAAACGTTCTCTACGTTCTCCAAGAATAAATCAGTTTGGTGTTAAATCAGCTCAAAGCTGCAGCAGACGCTCTCCTCGCACGGTTTGCTCTTTAAACGTGATCTTTTCCGTGTTACGGTAACAGAAGCTGCGTCCTACCAGGTTGACGAGTCGCCGCAGGCCGTCCTGGAGGTCGAAGAGCTGCAGAACCGCCCGGAACGAGAACGAGATGGAGAAGAACATGGTGGCGTGGCAGACGCCCGACGCGTGGGATGACTCCAGCAGCCAGAGGGCGTAGGACACGGTGTCGGAGAGGACGCCGTCCGGCAGCATGCACACCTGCAGCACAGGTAGACAAACATCAACACACACACCTGCAGCACAGGTCGACAAACATCAACACACACACCTGCAGCACAGGTAGAGAAACATCAACACACACACCTGCAGCACAGGTAGAGAAACATCAACACACACACACCTGCAGCACAGGTAGAGGAATGAAGCTGTTACATGTCCAGCATCACTTCGTGGTGTTTCTTCTGTATCTCTGCTGTAAATGTCATCTGACTGTGTGGCTGCTCAGATCATTGTTCAGCAGCTTCTGACAAACTAACTTCATGTGGAGCTGATTGTTTTCTAACTAACTCACCCTTTGGGAACAAGTCCAGCGTGCAGCACAACAACCACCATGACAGTTTGAATGACTCTTAATAAACCAAACAAGAGTCATTTCAGGGTTCTCATGGAGAGCCTTCTTCTAGATTGTCTATCTGCTGCTGCACTTTGTTTACTTCTGAAGGATCGCGGCTTAATTCTGTCCTGCTTTGGCCTCATTTCTGCAGAACCGTCCCGACCCAGAGGTTTGAACCTCCACACGTGTAGCGAGCGTGTGGCGAGCGTACCCTCTCCATGGCGTCCTGGTTGTAGGCCAGGTAGTAGAGGCACAGGGAGACGCCGGTCGCCGCCATCGACGGCCTCGGGATCTCCAGCAGCTTCTGCACGCCGCCGTGGGCGATAAACTCGGCGGCGAACTTCTTGTGGAGGAGCAGCGAGGCGAGGTACTGGAGAGGGATGGAGAAGGAAAAGAGAACTCAGTTATTAGAGGTTAGAAGTAGAGAAGTAGACTTAAAAGACGGCAGATTGGCCTGAGATGAACATTCAGCATCAACGTTACTGATTAAATGTTTCCCACTTTTATTTTGTTTGTTTTAAGCTTTAATTGCACCAACTGTTAAACGTCCAACACTCAGCCTGTTTCTGTGGATTGTCTGAAGGTTCTCAGTCCTCCAGGTCCTGGTTGTTCTCGTAGTTTAATCGTAACGTGACGTTTCACCTCTCATCCAGGAGACTTCATCAGTTCTAGTTGGGAGTTCCACCGTTGGTACAGGCAGACCCTAACGAACCCCACTGTGTCTGGGGGATACTAACGACTCACATAACGAGGGGGAGGAGCAACAACCCCCAACTGAAACCCAAACTCAGGTGTTAATGTCTCCTTCAGGATATCAGTATGTGGAACTCCCAACTAGTCAGTCAGAGCTGATGAAGCCTCTTGGATGAGAGGTGGACCAGGTGGTCCAGTCGTTGTGGACACGTTCTGGTTTTAAGTGAAGCCAACAACAGAGCCTGATCAGTTTTGGGCCAGATTGTAGCGTTTAAAGGTCCAATGTCACTATTTCAGAACTAATCTGGGCTTAACGGACAGAAAAACACGATTAAAACTGTCAGAAAACGCTGAAAAATGTCTGTTTCCAAAAGCCAGTCATCAGTGGTTTGTAGGTTTTGGACTCCAGAAAAGACGAACTGGGATCCAAATAAATTCACTGATGAACAAACATCAGAGCTGAAGTGATAATCGGTTGTTTGAGTCACTTTCAAGTAAGAACAAAAAAAAAAAACACTTCAAACCCAAGCTGAAGTTCATGATAATCTCCAGTTTTGATTCATCGATCGGCTGTTTGACGATAAAAAGAATAAGTGTTCACGTCTGGTTTGGTCCAAAAACATTCACATCAATGAGATTTGATGTCTTTAAATAAATGACTCAAAGCACTTAATGGATCTAAACAGTTAAAAACAAACCGATTATTTCAATTATTGATGCATCTCCAGCATAAAGTTTTGCATTTTTCTTTCATTTCTGAACATTTGATGGAAAAAAAAAAAAGTTTGTTGTGCTGATTGAATGAAGCTCTGATTAAAAAGATGATCAGCTCTGATCGTTCTAAGAAAACCTGTAAACTCATTAATCAACTCAGGAAGCTGCTGAGCTGATTATTGCAGCAGCAGTCAGAACCCGGTCTGCTGGTTCTGACTCAACAGAACCTTCATTAATTAGTTTCAGTTAACAGATGAAGTCTCCAACAGTTTGGATCCCATAAAAATCCGACTTTATAAATTAATTCTAACATGTTCTGACCCCTCAGCGTCTCTGAAGATGAGCTTCAGGTGTTTCTGAGGATCCATAAACCCGGTTCCTCAGACTGAGCAGAAAGTGGAACCTGCTGAAGTTTAATCTGCGTGCAGCTCGGCGGAGCCTCGCCCACACAGCTCCACATTATCTGCTCGGCCCAGACGGTCCGTCTGCAGGGAGGGTCGGCGGCCAGAACACAACCTTCTGCCTCCTCCTAACCCTGCAGCCTCCATCGGACCTCGTTAGGCTGCGCTGATCAGAACTCAAGTCCAGTCTGATAGTCGAGTAGAAGGAAAAATGCCAAACACGCTGGTGCTTTAAAGAGGTTCGCTGGTTTTTAAAGTTTTTTCTTTTCAAAATAAGACGTCACCTTCAGCTCTGCCACCAAAAACGAGCATCTTGGTCTAAAATGAAGCTAATGAGCTGAAGGCCTGATCAGAGTCGGGTGTTAATTAGAAATACAGCCGACGATTAGAGAAGAGTCAGTCGGAACCAGCTGGGTTTCAAAACACACCAAGTTCACTGAGCGGTCCTGATCATTCATACTTACTGATACTTCACAGACTGATCTACAGTCACTGTCCTCGCTTTGGTTTGGAGGTAAAAAGTAAAAATGATCTGAAGACTTTCTGAAGACGTTGTGAGTGTAAACTGAATATCTGGGCTTTTAAAAAAAATTAACACAAGACGTCACCTTCAGCTCGGCGACATTATTCAGAAGCTTTTAACTCCAAAGAATTAAAAACAACAGATTTATTTAAAAGGAAACGAGTTAGTTAGTCACAGCCCTGATTGTTTTTTTCAAAAATACATAAAGAGAAAGAACAAAGATAATATTTAGGATTTAATTTAATCTATGAATGTTTCCTTACATCATATAAAACAAACACGTCGGATTTATTTCTATTTTAGAAATTAATTTTACGAGTATAAACTCTTTTATATTGTTTAGTTTGACTAATAAAGTTTTATTTCGTCTCCTTATGTGTATATTTCCTGTACTGTCTGTTATGTTTCTATATAATCCGTCTACATGTGCAGAACTTGTCATCAGGATTATAACTCGACTGATGACCCGGTTGACTGAATAATAACAGAGAACGCGTCACCGTCCTCCCTGACCCGGTAGCTCCCATTAGACCCGGTAGCTCTCACCAGCAGGGCGTCGAAGGTCAGCTGCACGTTGTCGGTGTGCCGCAGGTCGATGTAGCTCATCAGCAGCGAGCGAGTGTCGAGTTGCATGAAGACGGCGAGCAGCTGCACAAACAACAACAACAACAACAACAACAACAACAGAGTCTGGTGAATACGAGCAGCAGCAGAAGGTCAGAGTGAAGAATAAGAATAAAGTTACACAAGAGCCCTCTGAGAAAACACACGATGCTAATTAATAAACTATTTAAGTAATTTAAAGCTAGAAAATGTTGAGCAGAAGAAGAACCACGTGTAGCGGCGTGAAGATAATAAAAATAAATCAATAAAACCAGAGTCAGGATCCGACAGACCGACTATCTGCCTGGACGAGTCTCAGACAGACACCAACCAAGAAGCTAGCGCCTCTCACCGCCGCTAATGCTATGCTAACAGCTAACGGCTAATGGCTATCGGCTAAGCTAGCAGGCAGCTTCAGGTCCGTCTGGAGACAATATTCAGTCATGATTTAAGATCTGGACCTTCTGGATCTGACCCCTGGTACTGATTCTAACCCGGGGTTCTGGTTCTGACCTCCTGGTACTGATTCTAACCCGAGGTTCTGGTTCTGACCTCCTGGTACTGACTCTAACTCAGGGTTCTGGTTCTGACCTCCTGGTACTGACTCTAACCCGGG